TTCATTGCAAGCATGTACCATGCATATATTCCAGCATCTTATTGTCCAGATAAATTCAACAGTTTCTTGGGGAGACCATCTCTGGTCTGAAGGTAGAGTTGGCAGAATATCATCCCGATCAATTAAAAGCCCCAACATAACATCAACAGCAACTTAAAACATAATTGAGTTAATTGACATGGTGTTGAGTAAACAATATGTTAGAAAATGCAAGTTCTTAACCACATCCTGTGACTACTTCATTGACATTTCAATTTTAGTTTATGTACAACCAGCTTCTATACACCTTAAAATGGCTATAGGGTATGATTCAGCTGTCTCATGTCCATTTTCATTTTTGTATTCAGCAGTTTGTAGTGTTGGAGCATAATTTTTACTGAACTTGGTGGATTTTAGCATAGTCCAAACTGGCTTATAACTCTAACAAGGCATATGTCAACAGTTGAGGTGCAGAACAGTTTTAGGAGGGGTGTGCAGAGAAATCTTCAATGCCTTAGTGAGGAGTAACTAATCTTTGTGTCCTACCTAGTAAGGCATATGTGAATCCACGCTGACCATTTCCTGTCTGGTTCTAAGCTTTCCTTGTTGTTAGGAAATGGATGGGCAAATCTTGTGCCACGCACTTTGAGGTGTGGCGAATATTTCAGCAGCCTTGGACAGTCTCAGCAATGTTTTAAAAGGGACTAAAAACAGTGATTTCAGGCAACAAGCTACTAAGCAAGTGGCAGGAATCTGCACATTGACTACTACATAGAAATTGAACCTGGTTATTCACTTCCGGATGCTACTATTACTAGTAATGTTATTAACATTATCATTTTAAACATTTTTATGGTGCTGGCCATGGTCCGGGTAATGTTTTAAATGTTTTAAAAATATTAAATTTTCATTCTTGCAACTACCCCATGAAGCAGGTGACATTATTTCTCAAATAGCAAACCCAAGCACAGAGTCCTAGAGTGGTTAAAAGCAAAATGTAGTTGATAAATGAATTCCCCAGTGCATTCAATGTATTAGTAAATTGAATGCAAGCTCTCTAGATTCAGAATTTTGTTTCTAAATCATACAGTATAACACACCTAAGTTCTAAAAAGATCATCAGGAGATGGAAGTACTTTGACTAGGCACAGGGACTCTGTAAGAACTGCATGAATACCAGAGCTGAGTTCCCAGCTGCATTTGGTGCTGAATCTGATTTTGGATTTCAGTAGCTTGCTATCACTTGCTCTTTCCTTTAAGCCTCCAAAAGAAGTATAGGATATAGATCTAGAATGAAATGATTTTTAATAAAAGCTTGAAGAACAGGCACGATCTCAAGAAGCCTGGAGCTTAGAGTTTCTTACCTGTTCAGCCATTCCACCACCTCTTCAGTCCTACCTACAGGAAGAGCAGCATGCACTCTGGAATCACATATCCTAGATGAAAACCTTGACGCTGGAATTCACTGGCTGTGAAAATGGGGTGATGACTGATTCTTCTTCTTCTCTTTTCTTTTTTATAAACATAAAGAAGATAGAATTCATGTATTTCAAAGACATAATTTTAAGAACACAATGATATTTCCAGCCCTTCATTATTCCTTTCTCTTTTCTTGTAAATTGTGTGATAATATACCTTCAATCTACTTTATATTCATCTGACTAATTCTCTGCTACTCCCACGTTTATAACAGTTAAGATACAAAAACAGCCCAAATACGCATCGACTAATGACTAGATAAAGAAAATGTTAAATAACACGCCCATCTAATTTCTGGCCTGGGGGACCTCTTTTGTGACACAACCAGCTAAGCTACTGCTTGTAATGCTCATATTCCTTATTGGAACTCTGGTTCAAGATCTGGCTGCTCTAACTAAGACCGACTCCCAGCTTATGTGCCTGGAACACTAACTGATAATGGTCCAAGTGCTTGGACCTATGCCATCCATATGTGAGACCCAAGATTTAGTCTGGCCCAACTCTGGCCATAGTGGCTGTTTCATTTGAAGATGGAAAATAAAATAACGTAGGTGGAAGTAGCTAGAAGATATCTCCCTCCATCTTTATTAAACTGCCTTTCAAAAAAGTAAATAAATATATTTTAAATAAATATTTTAAAGCTATTTTTAAATAAATATTTTAAATGTTTATTCATATTTGAGAAGGCAAAATCAATGCATACTCACTCAAAATGTTTTTCTTTTCACTGTGTCCTCCCAGTGGGAGGAAAGGGAAAATGCCTTGGGATCTCTCCTGGGCCTCTTTTGTAAGAAATTAAGCTCATTCATGTAGTCTCTGCCTCCATGACCATGACCTAACCACTTCCTAGAGGTCCCATCTTGTATTACCTCGTAAATGAGGGCTTTAATGCATGTATTTCAGGGACACATAAACATTCAGGCCATAAAATGGTTTGGCTCCCTAGAATGGTTCCTCAAGGTAAATGTTTCTTTGGGCATATCCTTTCCATGTGCCTCCCTCTTCAAACATATTTTGCAGCTTCATCTATAGTATAGAATTACAGCATAATAAGGTCATTGCCCTAATGATTAACTCTTCAAATTATGGGATCTAATTTGTGACTCTGGTAGTCTGACCAGAAGTGAATTTTCAGCACTGTTCTCTCATAGAGGAACCTGCCCCCTGTAACTAATTCCATCATCATTATAAAAATATTTCAATAAAATTTCCCATATTTTGAGTGTTTAATATATTGGGGTATTTATAAACATTATAACAATACATTTGCTTAACAGTTCCTGAATAAAATCACTATGAATATAGACAAAAACACATGCGCAGCAAATGATAAGAACTTTAATATCAACATCTAGAAGGAATAAGTGAGATGTCAGAAAAATCAGTGAGTTCCCTGCTCTCAGTTTTTCCTGCTTCTCTGTGGGAATTTTCTTTTAAACATAGGTTATTACATTGCATAAGTCTTTAAAAAAGGATTTATTTCTTTCTATTGGGAAGGTAGGCTTAAAGACAGAAAGAGAGATAGAAGATGTTCCATCCACTGGTTCACTCCCCAGATTGTTAGCGGTGGCCAGAGATGAGTTTATTTTAAGCCAAGAACCAGGAGCCTCTTCCAGGTTTCCCACACGGTGCAGGGTCCCAAGGCCTTGGGCCACCCTCTACTGCTTTCCAGGTCACAAGCAGGGATCTGGATGGGAAGTAGAGTAGCTGGAACACAAACCAAGGCCCATATGGGATCCTAGTACTTGCAAGGCAAGGCAAGGATGTACACCAGGTCACTCTGAGAAATTTTGAAGGCAGGAGATGCTTTGTCCTTTTGATTTGAAGGTCTTATCTGTTAAACAAGTAGCAATTCATGCAAATGTAGCTTTCTGAGCAACTGAATCCTTCCCTTCTCAACCCTCCATCTCCTTCTGTCCAAGTATGCATACAGGTGTACTAACCACATACTTAGCTGTACCTACTCAGAGAACCAACTTATAAGAGAAACAAAGAAAACTGAGGTGAGATAGGAAGGAGGAGGTCTAGCTATGGTGTTTGCATCCAAAGAGGTACAGTTCCTAAAAATAAATTTGTGGTGGTTACTGCAGAGAGAGGGAAGTTGATGGTGGTCATATGTGCTGAGGAGTATGCAAATTTAGGCACACTATCCTAAATTTGGGATAGTCTTATATCCAACAAGTGTGGTTTGAAGAACTCCCCTGCATCCTACCAAGGAGTGTCTGGAGAATGGCTAAGCAGCATCAGGTATAATGGATGTTGTAATGTGATCCCGTACTGCAGGTCAAAGTGAGCAGCAAGCAGAGCCAACAGAAATCACTGGAACTCATATCTTGGACTGTATGAAATGTTAACACTTCCTCATTGGGGCTTAATTAAGAGAAAATTCCAAAATAGAAGACCTACATTAGTAAATAAATGCTTCAGACACTGAAAGGAAATCATAGCCTTGTAGACTAAATCACAATGAGCCTTTGAAAATGATCTATCATCTCTCAGCCTTTGGCTAAGACCAAGTGTAGAAAAGATCTATTTTTTTTCTAGCATTAGTAAAAAAAATAGTTAACAGGATGTGAAATTATTCATAAATTGGTTGAAAATGATACTTCATGAAGGACTTGAATCACACATTAAGGTCAGATAGAGGTAGAGATAGAGAGTAGATGAGACGACAGGGAGAAAACAAGGGAGAGAGAGAAAATAATTGAATTAAATTAGTCCCATATTGGCTATGGCATGGTGTGGGACATTGTTTTTTCAATCACATTATATCAAAAAGCAAACTGGATATCTATTATTCTGGAGAAAATAAGCAAGTTTTTACAAATAAACCTGAGATGGATGTTAAAGGAAATACAGGCAATGTTCACTATTAAAGCTTGTTAAAATAGTTTAGGTCTTAAATGGCTAGCTGAATGTCTCTTACAGACATGTTGTTCTATATGTTTTCTGCTTGAGCAGGTCACTAAACATGTTGTACTTGCACTTGACAGCCTTGACTTTCTATGTTTTCTGTGCTGCCATCTTCCCCTTGCTTGTGAAGGCCAAGTAGAACATTAGTGAAACCCCATTGACACAAACATTCTAGCAATGAACAAGTTCCACCAGTGAGACACATTTGTATGAGGTTTGAAGGGAAGAAGTGCAGCTGAAGTGGGATGATGTTGAATTTTTTTTCCTCTGGCCAGAATGCTCTGGCATTGCTTGGTCACTAACATCATGATGAGCTGACACTGAGACATCGATCAGATATTTCATAGGGCCCCCGGGTTTCTGAGTTGTATCTTTGGAGACCTAACCCTGAGCTCAGCAGCAGAATCTGACCTCCATCCAACTAGTCTTACAATAATACCGTGGGCACCTGATTGCCTTTATCAAAGACCTTCCTATGACAGACATCTAAAATACCTTCTTTCCTACATTCATCCCTAAATGACACAAGGCTCCTTTGGCATTACTACGCACATAAACCTTAAGCTTTACTGCATCTTCTTCCAGGACGGTGAGATGGATCACCAATATTGATTCTTTTATTTGCACAGATGGCAGAAATTTCTTGAGTTGCTGAGCAGAGCCTCTTCTGATTTGTCATCCTATTTGCCTACAGGTGAGTTGTATTAGTTTATTACTCCTTAAGACATTCTATGTCCCACAGGTCCTGTTAACTATGATACTTAGCTTGAATGATTATTAGGTTTCATTCCATTCCTTTCCAAAATGTAAATGAATCACCAGTGAAGGAAAAATGAGAGTAAGAATCACCTCAACAGCGATTCCTTTAGTCCAGCTGATCATAAAAATGTGATTATATGTTTAATTGTGTCATAAGGCATTCTCTTGGTAGCAGTCCATGAAGACAAACACAGCACACCAGCAGAAGGAGTTGGTATTATTCAGTAGAGCAGTTCAATAGAATTTCCATTGTACAGCCTTTTAAGTTTGGAAACCTTGCAGCTAGGTAGTTATTCTTCTTGATATTCCACCAAAAAGACCCAAGTTGTATGTGGATGTTAAATGCAGCATTTTTTGTAAATATTTTTAGAAGATAAAAATAATGAGAGTATCCCACAGGAACCAGCTAGTGAAACTTTACCATGACTGTAAAATAACATGACTGAATTTTCAAGACATCTTATTAAGTAAATTTATAAACATGAATTGTGTAAGATATTTTGAGATTATGAGAAGTGAAAAATATGCATTGATACTGATCTGCTTTTGTAGTTTCTCCATATACTAAACCCACTCGAGCATTTACTGGGATCTTTTGGATAAAAGTACATGGCACACATACACACACATACACACACGTTGAGCTGGTGGGAGTGGGTCTAGGTATTTAAAAAAGAGGGAAGTCACTTGCATTGGTCATACAAGATTCAGAAGGCTGAAAGAGTGAAAACATTGCATGGCTAGTCTAATTTCCCTTTCACAGGACTGCCATAATAAATCACCAGTACTCCAAATATGCTTATAGTTTGAGAACTAAAGCAGCATTCTACAATAATCAACTGTGGCTCCAAATTTCAATCCTTCAATGAAGTACCTATGAACAAGAGACAGAAAGATAATAAAAGCAGGGAACAGATCTGCAGCATGGCTGCCGTTGGGGGAGAATATAAAGGGAGCCAAAAGTACCTCAGAAGTTCACTTATCCACTTCACCAAACTCTTTCTCAAAACTGGTTCCTCAAGAAAACACAGCTAATGGTAGAGTTGGCCTCCATTTTTTTTTTTTTTTTAGGAAAGTACTATCCATAATAACCATTAGTTGGAACCTGTCATGTCAAAGGGACAGACAAAATAACTCATTGACTTACACAATAAAGAGATGTTGATTTATTTAGATGAAAAACATGGCATTAGCAAAGGATTCTGGACACGATTTCATCTAGCCATTCGAATGTCAGAAGCAAGAGTTTGCTTGCTCTCTGACCTTCTGGTTTCCTTCACCTGGTGCTGGTGTAACTTCAACACGTTGTATGATATGTTAGTCTCTCTAATGATGTATGACAAGACATCTGAAGCTGAGTAAGACATAAGGAAAAAAGGGTTATTTTATTCATGATCCTCATCCCTAGAAAGTCCAAAAAGTGTGACACAGGTTTCTGTCAGGACCCCTTGGTTGCAGAGAAGCAGAAAGAGAGCAAGTCACATACCAAGAAAACCCAAAATGTGAGACAACTCACTTTACAAAGTAAAGAAAGTGAAAAGCAGACAGGGTTGGGAAGGAGGAGTGAGAGGAGGAAAAGAGGGGAGGATAGAAAAGAAGTAAGAGGAGGGGAGCGAATGGGAGGGAGGTGGGGGAGAAACCAGTTAGCTGCAGTCATGTGGCATGCCGATGAGGCCTCTTGGCTCTGCACCTAACCCACTTCTCTTTGCTTTCCACTGTGTCTTAGCCAGGCTCTCCTCTCAGCCACTGCTTGAAGGTCCCAGGTGTCCATACTTCACCCATGCTTCATCTTGGCCTTTTCTCTGATTATTTTCCTTAAATAGGTTTTCCCCAGCTACCTTTCACCAGATTTTTTCATTCCCTGTTCCCTTTCCAAATAGTAACTATCATTACTTTCTATCCTTATAACTAGCTTTGGTCATGCTCAATGCAGATATCACTACCTGGCATTGTTTTTTAAAGAATTATTTAGAAGACATTGACAGAGGAGGAGAGGAAAAGAGAAGGAAAAAGAAATGGAGGAAAAGAGAGGTCTTTCATCTGCATATTTCACTCCCCAGCCAGCTGCAATAGCCAGTCCTGGGCCAGATCACACCAGGAGCCAGAAACTCCATCCAGGTCTTCCATGTGGCCGGCATTGGCACCAGTGCTTGGCTCATGTTCTGCTGATTTCCCAGATGGCTCAAAAACAAGGCAGGTGGAACTTGAGCAGACAATTTAGTATGGGATGCTGACATAGCAAACAGCAGCTAAACCTGCTGCACCACGGTACGAGCCCCAGTACCTGATGTGGTTTTATGTGTAAGTTTGCCCTCAGCTACAGAAATCACATTCTATGAGAAGAAATAATTTGTTACATTCATCGCTGTATTGAAGTGCCTAGGACAGTGTCTAACATATGGTAGGTACTTAACAAGTGATTGTTGAGTAAATAAAACAGTAACAGACCTAACCCTACCTCTTGTTTTCCTAATCAAGTAACTAAAATCTCCATCACCTCAATTTCCTCATCTGTCCCAGGGGAAGAATTTCTCCTTCCCAAGGCTATTCATTAGATTCTGTCAAAAATGTGTCATTTATAGATCTTTAGCGTATGTTTTCTTCTCACAAATCCTTCATTCAGTAGGTCTGATGAGACCAAAAACCTCTACTTAAATCCATCGCTTTCTACTCTGATGTTTCACTTTAGATCCTCTTAGGGAATTTTTCAAAGTACCAAGCTAGATTTTGGCCCCTGAGATTCTGATTTAATTTGTCTGGCAGGATGGCTTAGAAATGTTTAAAGCTCCCCAAGTAGGCCTAATGCTTAGGCTGCACTGAGGACCATTGATTTCAATTCATTAGTTGGGATAACCAAGAGGCCTGGCTCTGTGATCACCAGGATCTTACTGGAAGTCATGTAAAACTTGTCCCTTACAAACCTGAAAGTCTTTAGAAATCAGCTTGGCTTATTTCCTCCAGAACAAAGCTTCAACTGGAAGATGAGACAAATGGCTATTACTTATCCATCCTGAGTTAGAAAGGGAAAATGAGCTCTGTCTCAGAATTTTCAAATAAATTTTACACATACAATTATTACCTTTGCATATGCTATCAAATATTACAAAGGGCGAAGGGAAGCTAATAAATGATGAAGTGGGCTGACTTGTGTTTCCTGCTAATGGGACTTCTTGAAATGCACAGCAGAGAGGAACAGCACTGCAAAACAATCTAGGTCCTAGTTCTTACTCTAAAACTCAAAATTCACTGAACCAGGGCCCAGTGGCGTGGCCCAGCAGCTAAAGTCCTCGCCTTGAATGCGTCAGGATCCCATGTGGGTGCCGGTTCTAATCCTGGCAGCGCCACTTCCCATCCAGCTCCCTGCTTGTGGCCTGGGAAAGCAGTCAAGGACGGCCCAAAGTTTTGGGACCCTGCACCTGTGTGGGAGATTCAGAAGAAGTTCCTGACTCCTGACTTCGGGTCAGCAAGCACTGGTTGTTGCGGTCACTTGGGGAGTGAATCATCGAACAGAAGATCTTCCTCTCTGTCTCTGTGTCTCCTCCTCTCTGTATATCTGACTTTCCAATAAATCTTTAAAAAAAAATTCACTGAATCAGCCCCAAGAAAATGCCTGGCACATTATAATTGGTGCATATTTCTCTTTTCTTGGAAGTTTTCTAATGGTCAGTTAATAATCACACAAAAACATATAACAATACCTTATATTGAGCACTTCCCTTGTGTTTTATTTTTATCTCCACAGTATTAATACAGATTGTTATAAGTTCAAAAATGGTATAATTGTGATCCACAGACTTGCAGTTGGTGAAAAGAAGAGTTAGAGTTAGCATTCAGGTCTGACACTAAAATACATCTCTTTACCTTTGTGCCATATATTGTGCCATATATTGTGCAACCATTAATCACTGAGAATAAGAGCAATCTGAACTTTAATTCCTCCTAAAATAATGAAAAAGCTTTTCTTTGGCATACTGGATGAGATAAGCAGGGGCCAAAGCTACTAGATAATAATGGGATTGCATGGCAATTTAGATTTTCAAAATATCAAATAAGATGTGCATTGAAGAGGCTGTCCTAAGTGGCTTCCATCAGAACTCACACTGGACCTGACACTGAGGCACAGTATGTAGAACCACTGCCTGCCACACTCGTGTTGGCATCATTTCATTTCACATCTTGGCTGCTCTACCTGTATATGATGTAAGGGATGGCTCAAATATCTGTGCCTCAGTGTCAGTAATAACTAAATAAAAATGTATATCCAGTGACTTATTTTCCCAAATATCCAACAAGGTCACATGATCATTTATTTATTGAGTTGCTTCTCTAGTGCTAGGCAATAGGTCATCAGAGAATGTTATGAAAACACATTGTCTTTCTCCATCAAGAAAGGGAGAGAGAATAATTCTAGCAATGCATAGATAAAATTCTTAAAATTTAGTCTAACAAAATGCTTTTAAATCTGATATGTGAATTTACTTGTTTAATTTACTTACATAAATGACTGTGTTTTTAAACATTTGCTGAAAAACTGCTATGTTCTGGAGACTTTGTTTACAATTTTTAGTTCCCTTAATTATCACAATATCCGATACGTGTCACTATGCTTGATTTTCAGAGTAGAAACCAGGGTACAGAGAAGACAGTAAGTTATCTAAGTTCATACAGTTAATAAAGTAAGGAGCCAGAATTCAAACCAAGGTATCTGGGCTCAGAACTTATGCAAATGCTGTCAATCACTACATTGCAATGCCCAACTCTACTTTTTGTTTAAAATGTACTAACTGAATCATTTTAATAACTTGTGAGACCCAAATAAAAAGCTTTGTGCATGTATATGGGGAGGTGGTGTGTAGAGAGAGAGATGAGATATTTGAAGTGTGCAGAGATCTCTGAAGCAGAATCTTCCAGAACACTGTGTGGTAATGAGAGGGAATTGCAAAACAAATACAGATATACTTCCAAAAATTAATGCAAAATCAAACTAAAGCATAAATTTATTTTGGTGCCAAAACATTTTGAGACCCATACATACAAGGGGTCTTAAAAATGCATGAACATTATGAAAAATCTTTCCATACACTTAAAAATATTTCACACCAAAATAAACTTCTCAAAATATTTTTGAAAGTCTGAGTAACAGAGAAAGTAGTGGTGAAAGAGGGGGTGTTTCATCTTCCCAAATCTCCCCAGTGGTCATAGCTGGTTCAGACTGAAGCCAGGAGCCCAGAGCTTCATCCTGTAGGCATTAGGGCTGTGAGTTCTTGAGCCATTTCCTCTGCCTTCAGAAGACGCTGTTTCAGAAGTGGAGCAGCAGAGCAGCCAATTCAAAGCAGCTCTCCAATAATGGATGCCAGTGTTGCAAGAGGCTCTTTACTCACTGCACCACAGTGCTGGCCTCGAATAAGCTCATTTTTAACCACATTTTCCATAAATGTTTTGAAGCACACCCACAAATCTGGCATATAATCAGATAGGAAGGTGGTGAGTGATCAACAAACATTACCAAGAGCAAGTGGGAGAGCATCACAGCAGAGGGCCTTCATGCTTTCCCTGCATCTGAACGGAGTAGCCTGCAGTCAGTGACTGCACAGAAAAGTCCTCCAGGTTAAGGATGCTCCCCACACAGGACTTCTGATCTTTGAAGAAGGTAAGGAAGGAGGAAGAGAAAGATTGTGCCTGGCCCATTGGGTGCACATCTATATGGAGAGAGACACACAAGTGCCTTTTTGCAGCTTAACCTATCAAGTTCTATGTGATTCTGGGCCTTTCAGGGAGGAGCTTTCATCTGTTTGCCAAGAGCTCTCTGCTGCATACACACAACCCCTCCTCCGCTTGGAGGTCTCCTCTCCCTCTATCAGTTTCCAATTTATGTCACTTCCTCCAAAAACATTGCTGATATCCAAGTTGATTCCCTCAAGCACCAAAATCAGTTCTAGAACTTTACTCATCGTATCTGGTAGTATCTGTAACACAAGAAGTGTAATTTTTGAATAATTACTTGATACATACCTCCCCAGTCTGAGATCCCGAAAGGCAAAAACCAGATCTTGTATTCATTAAGTGTATTTTCACTGCTTACCACCATGCTAACAGGAGAGCCTGTTTTCTTTGCCTGAAGCATATCGCTATGTGAAACAGAAAGGCAGAATTAAACCTCTCCATTTTTTTTCTTTCATGTTCAGGAAAGAATGAAAAAGAATCCTTGGCCACTCCAGTGGAGACAGAAGTCCCTCGGACTGAACATGTGGTATGCACCTGGGTATAGGAAGCTTGGGAAAGGTCTTCCCAGACACGGTCTTCTTTTCACTGTGAAACCTGTACTGTGATGCTTTGATTTCCCCCAAACCTCTTGTTTCAGGCCACTGGTGCAGAAAATGGAGGCTAAACTACACGAGTAGGGGTTGTGTCTTAGCTGCGATGAGAAGCCTCTTGCCCACCGTTTGGTGACATCCTTGCCCCCAGCCCACAATATGCTTGTATTCCTAGCATGTATATGGATGTCCTTCCAAAGCTTGTGGCTGACCCCTCAGCTGCAGTCAAAATCAAGTGTGTGTCAAGCCCTATTTTGACGTCAAGTCCAGCTTCCAGAAACTGAGTGACCTTTCCCCAGACATCACATTTTAAAATGTAAGAAGCACTTTGATTAAAAAAAAAAAAGTAAAACAAAATCTGGCAAAGAGTTACAATTCATTTTAATTTTCCCAGAATTCGGCCAAGAGACATACAGAGAATTGAAAAACAGCCTGAGAGTTTTTTGTTGTTGTTTTTTAAATGCCCAGATTAGAGCATAATTCATTCTAAAATGACGAGAGGCCTCTTCATGCACTTCACACGTTGAAATAGTTTAGAAAATAGTATTCATTTTGGCAAGCTTCTTGCCGCAAAAGAAACAACAGTAAGTGCTTTTCTCTGCGAGTGTTAAATCGGCTGTGAGTAAGATTAAGAAAAATATCCTTGCTCTTTTATTTTACCTCTTATTTGAGGACTTTATTGCATTCAAGCAACAATTTATTCTTCTCTCATTCCTGTAGAAATAAATGGCATTTTTCCACATTTCAGTCCTGAGTTATCCAAGTAGAATATTGTGGTTCTCTCCACTACCATGTGGATTGACAGGAGGTGCAATTCCTGGAAAAGCTGGGCAAGCTAGCTGGCAGTAGATGATCAGTCTCTCCAAATGGTAGGAGGCAAGATGCCTTACATGGCACATCTTCAACTCGTTTGTCCATTTATTCTCAAAAAACCTCTACGATGTACTATGCTGGGAGTTAAGAAATCAAGATGAAATATACATAACTTCCTCCTGTAGCAGCCTGTCTGGGTCATTACTGCCTTTACGAAATGAACAGGGCAAACATCTTAGAAATGTTTTAACATTCTGTAAAATGGACCTATGAGACTAAGACAATAACACTATTATTCCATTCACTCCAATTAAAGCATCCAACTGTTTCAGAAATGTTCATACCAGAATGGTCTAAGGTTTGCTTGAAGCCCATCCCCTGTAGACCTCACTAATACAAAACAGCTGAACATCAAGAAGTCTCAATGAGTTACAAAGTCCTTTCCTTTATCCAAGTCAGAAATGACAAGTGAGTAAAAGTCATGATGTCACCCTTCTCTTTAACAACAAACACACTTAACATGTTTGTATCCAGCAAAACTTGGCAGAAATGGTCCTGTGACTCTGAGGATTTGAAACGCATCTGCCTCACTTTCCAAAGCCAGGCCTTACAATAAATCTGCTTAGTTGTAAGGTCTCATCCTTGGCCAGGAGTCTGGAGAAGCTCTGGATGGGGAGTACTTTGCCAGTGAGATGCTTGTGTTGTTTTGGTAGAAAACTTCAGAAGAGGAGCTTCAGCCAGAAAACCCTCCTGCTGAGACTCCAACCCCAAAGGATGCTTGGAGCTTGTGGAAGATCCGACCAATCTCCCAGCCTTCCACAAACCCAGCGGTGGGGAAAGAGGCTGAAGAAAGTGAGACATGGATCAACAGGTTCAGGAAACTCGAAAACGCCCTCTACCTCTGTGATCTGAGCAACACAGGTGAAAAATGTATTTGAAACCCTGATGCACCTTCAGGCTCTAGTCGAAAAGTGGAACCCTCATTTTCTTTCACTTCTTGAATGATTAATAGAAACTGTATATAGATCATGTACCTGGCACTGTGTTAAACACAATTGGGAAATACAGTGAGTAGAGTCTTAGACAAGACTCCACTAGGTTACATGCAATCTATTTCTAACTCTTTCCTGTACTCTATGACCAAAGCTTAACACACAATTCAGTCTGATAATTTTCCTTATTAAAATACTTAAGGTGCTTCCCCACCCGCACTTACAGGAGGGAACTCAAAGCTGATGAACAAGGCAATATTCGGCCTCTGATCACTTTGATCAGTTTCTTTCTACTGTTACTCTTTCAACATATTCTACCTAGTCATAACATAGCACATACCTTGCTCCCTCAGGAGTCTGTGACTTCTCAAACTCTAAGCCTTTCATCTAATTTGCCTCTTCTACTTATCCACTCTCTACCAGTTCCCTATTCTGCTCCCACTGGGTAATTAATGCTTAAATCTCTTTTGCATTTGAATTCAAGAACTAGTCATCTGAGACTCCCAGATATATCTAAGCCAACCATTATGGCCTCTAAAATTCTTCAACATTATTATGTCCAAGATATAGAGATAGATATATAGAGAAATATGTTTATTGGAAACTTATTGCTATCTCACCAGTATAATCTTTTCCTATCTCTTGTATCTTGCACAATTAAACATTTACTTCAAAGGAACAAATAAATGAGTCAAGGTGCAGTAATAACTGAATACAAAATGTGAGATGATAAATGCCATTAGAATTCGCTGTGTTCACATTCAGTAAAAGGAGGATCCATCTCGGGTGGAGTTAATCAGGGAAGGCTAAGGTCAGGTTAAATTGGCCATTGAAGGTAAAGTGAAAGACACAAAGGAGTGACATAGAGAGCCTTTTCTAGAAAATATTCAAGATTAGCTAAGCAAAATGACATGTGTGAGGTTCAATGTGATGAGTCCAGTCACAATAGAATGCTGATGTTATTAAGAAAAATATTAGGGGCCCTGGAGTGGTAGCCTAGTAACTAAAGTCCTCGCATTGCATGTGCCAGAATCCCATATGGGCACCAATTCACGTCCTAGCAGATCCCATTCAGCTCCCTGTTTTGTGGCTTAGGAAAGCAGTCAGAAACAACCCAAAACCATGGGACCCTGTACCTGTGTGGGAGTCACAGAGATCGCTCCTCGCTCCTCGCTTCAGATCAACTCAGCTCTGGCCATTGCAGCCACTTGGGGAGTGAATCAACAGATGGAAGATCTTCCTCTCTGCCTCTCCTCCTCTCTGTGTATCTCACTTTCCAATAAAAAAATCTTTTATTTTTAAAAATATTAAATGATAAATACAGAAATACATAATAAACCAAATATTGAAATATTTAAAATGTAATACTAAGGGACTTTTTAGTGTAAATCATAGATAGTATCATTTTAGGCAGAGGAAGAGCATAGAGAGTTATGTTTTAAGGAACACCTTTGATGACTGTGGACAAAAAGTTAAATAAAGAAAATAAGATATGAATGCAATGTCCAACCAAGAGAGAATGAAATGCAGAACTGGGTCAAAATCCTAGAGAATGAAAAACAGGCACATAGAAAAGCACTGGGGCTAAAACTATCATGTTTAACCGTTTAAGATGGTTCCTAAAGAGTGAGTGAACACAGTATTCTGTAGGAATAATCATGTGAAAGATCAATCGCTTTTTTATTCTCTGTGTGTTTTGATTTTTATTTTTAACTCTGAATCAACCTAATTCTAGGCCACATGAAATACAGCTACCATAAAATCCCCAAAGCATTTTTAATTATTGTACAAAAGAAAGGAAAAACAAAAGCAAACCTGAAATCTTTAAAGGGTCATTTGACTGAATTGGAAAACTATTTATCAAAAATATTGACCTTGCATCCACATGGGAGAGCTGGTTTCCCACCTGGATTGCAGGGGCGCAAGAACTTCAGCCATCCTCTGCTCCTTCCCCAAAAGGGAGTGGGATTCGAAGTGGAACTCCAACCAGTGCTCATATGAAATGCTGTTTAATCCACTGCACCACACTGTAGTCAGCTTTTGTCACTTTAACAAATGCCTGCAAGGAGCTACTTGTGAAGGAAAATGTTTATTTTGACTCATAGGTTTGTAGATGCAGTCCGAGATTTTGCGAAGGTCCATGCAGGATGACTACAAAGAGGAATTATATTCCTGATCCAGGAAGCTGAAGGAAAGTTAGGATAAACCCAACTTATGTAACCAACTTGCTCAAGACAGCCATCTTACAAGATCATATCTAGGTCCTTCTCCCAGACACAATAGTCAGCTCAAGCTACCACCCTAAATCCCTCAACCATTACTGTTAATCCATAACTTAAGACTTTAGGGATCAAATCTTTAATGCATAAGCCTTAAGCAAATATCCAGACAATTCAGAAAATGCCTACAAGACTGTGAGGGTAACAATGGGGTTGCAAACAAACAAAAACCTTAAGGAACAAAATCGCAAGGAGATAGGAAAGATATTTCTAATGAGATAAATGTTGAGTTGCAATGATGGATGATGAATGATGGATCATAAACTTAGTTGCTAAGAAATTCCCCAAAGACCTAGACTTTTCTCATTGGAGCTGAAGTGTTCTGGGGAAAAACGGAGTTTTGTTGATTTTGGAGACAGATTCTGACAGACTTGAAATGCCTTTCTCATGGCCTCTTCACTGTTTATGCCTGTTTTCTCTGTTTCTATGAAATCCGTTAGTTCTTCAGTGGCCAAAGAATGTGTCAGCCAGATCTGGGAACATCTACAAATGTCTGTGACAAGGAAAGATTAACTGAGGTCATTTTGCTGGTTTATTAATCACAGTATTAGCAGACCACCAAGGTCTCACTCTACATGCAGAGTAGATGGTACCTGCTTTGCCCATGGATGAATCACTGTTCTTTATTATGTGCAAAGAAATATGTGGGCCGGAGTGTTCCTCATCCAAGATGAAGGCAGCCCATCCATCATCACATCACTGCTTCTGGGAACCTCCTGTGCTTATTCTCTAATGAGGGTTGTCAATAAAATAGCCTTGAGGAGAAGGAATAAGGAATGACTATGAATAACAGGTCATGTTTTCTAAAGAAAGGAGTATGACTGGTATAAATATCTTTGCAAATTGTACATTTGGAATTTTCCCAGGGAACTAACAACTAGATAGAAAGTGTTTTAGAGTTCAAGGAGGCAGAAGGACTTAAAGAACATTTTCTTTTGGGGTTTGGATATTACATGCACTGCAATACTAAATGGCCACATCAACCAAATGCTGAAGAAATGGTATTCTTACTTACAGAGGAAAAAGTTAAGTTCAAAGTGACAAAATAATGGCCTGTAGGAAGTGGAGACATAGTTCAAGCCCAGCTATCTTTGACTTAGTGATACCCAGACCCTATAATATATTGGAAAGTACACGGGGTTTTGTTTCATTTCTTTTCTTTCTTTTTCCTTTTTTGTTTTTTTACCAAAATATCTAGATTCAAGTCCAGATCCTACCAACTGTTAAAACTTGAAAATTCATCCCATACATTCTTTGAGCCTGTTTCCTCATCTATACAATAAAAATAAATCATAATTATAATTATTTCTTCAACTATATAATAATAAATAATAAAAATAAATTACTAATTAGGCATATCTCTCATATTTGAGAAAAAAGACAAATAACATAGGCTACTCAAAAGTTTTTGGGAAATCGTAAAATTAAAGATTGTGTTATGGAGATTCTTACTATCATTTGTTTCATTTTGGTTACAGCTAAAACAGAATAGACTTTCCAACACAGATGGACTGTGAGGAGTGTTTTACACACTTTTTATGGCATACCCTATTGAGAGAGTAAACTGGGCAAACATGAATTATGGCTAGGCTTTTATTTGATGCTATAAATCCACCACTGTGAAGCTTAGAAGACAGGAAATACCACCATGATGCCTAATGTAATTTTTAGGCATTGTTCTATTCTTAATTAAAATATGAGATAAATGTTATATATTTTGATGGTAAACATGTAATATTTAACTAATTTTATAAAGCTTTATCTGTTTTGATTGCAAAGTCAAATATACAGAGAGGAGGAAAGGCAGAGAAGTAGATCCTCTGTCCAATTATTCACTCCCCAAGTGACCACAACAGCTGGTACTGTGCCAATCCGAAGCCAGGAGTCAGGAACCTTCTCCAGGTCTCCCATGTGGGTGCAGTTCTAAGGCTTTGGGCCATCCTAGACTGCTTTCCCAGGCTGCAAGCAGGAAGCTGGATGAAAAGTGGTGCTGCCGGGATTAGAATCAGTGCCCATATGGGATCCTGGGGCATTCAAGGCAAGGACTTCAGCTGCTAGGCCACCGTGCTGGGCCCTAAATAATGTTTAAATGATTTATAATGATACTAGCACTAATGAGCCCTTGCTAGTATCAGATACTAGGTTAAGCACTTAATTTTTTTAAATATAATTCAATTATCCTTATTTTAAACTTAAGGAAACTGGTGCTCAAAAGTAAAATAAATTGCATCAGATGCTACAGTCAAAAACTTACCGCAAAGCTCATGACTTGTGTTTCTACACCAATATAGAAAATTTTCCAGAGGGAATAAACATAGGCAGGATGAAGAGAGCTTCAGAGATATAACTGACCGACTCAAAGATTGTTATATAGAAGACAGAGCCAACATTCTGAAAGAGAAGATAAACAATAAACAATGAACAACAAAAACACAATAAGCAAATGCGAATGAAAAAGAAAATAGACAAGTAGCAATGGAACAGAGTAGAAAGGAAGAAGTCACTGCAAGTCCCGCCAGCCTGAAGAGAGTACTTAAGAAGGGAGCATTGTGAAAAACAGCCCTTGCACCTGTAGACATGAACAAGACTTGATAGCTTCAGCTGAGATGGGAGGTGCTTACCACTTCCCAGCCCTGGTCGACCAGTGGTAGCTTTCTATCAAATAGCTAAGGCATTGTTTCTGGGTTATTTGAAAAAGAGTTTTAAAATCACTATCACAGTGTCAACAAGTAAAGATTCATACTGATGCTTCCATCTCTATAAAAGATATATTTTAAGTTTTTCATTGAGCCTGTAATCTCGGGGTTCCCAGCTGTAAGGGCCCCACAACTACTGAGCAGGTGAGGCTACAGTGTGCTTCAGCAGCAAGAACCAGCAGGGACAGTCTGATAGAGCATGAGCTTATATAGACTAATAAAGAGGAACACAAGAAGGCATCTCTCTACTGTCCTGCCACCCAACAATCGCATGCAGGCACCAGAGCACATTTTGTGATAATAGATGACAGCAACTCTATTCCATATGTTCAGAGTCTTAAGGAGTTATACAGTTTGCAGGGACCATGCAAGAAACTGGAGAAAGGCATAGTAAATACATTTCTGGGAAATGCTTTTTAAATTATTTGGAGCAGGAAATCAAAGCCAGGACTCTAATGTGGGTATGAACATCTTAATAAGCCATTTCTTAATGATTCAACTAAACATACACCACCTGGAAATATATTTTACAATGAACTGTTTAAACCTTACATGTTTAGGAACTTTTTGGATACCTTAACCAATAAAAAGAGATCAGAACAATTGGCAAATTACTCTGTGTAGACATCTTACCTGTTTTAACTCTTGGATTTAAAACTTGTATGACTAAATAAAAAAGTTTAAACTACTTAAACTGCTTTCATTCTCTTCTCTCTCCTCCAAAATTACACTCAACCTGTTCTTGAAATTTATGATTCATATATGAGACATTAAATGTGCTTTAAAATGCCCCTTTTTAAAAGCTTAAAATTTCAAAATACAAGACTTTATCTCTCACTAGAAGTCATTCAAACTAATATGCAAATTTCTCTGTTTTTCCCTTCCTCTTTAAAAATCTACTCAATGCGATCACAGGAGTCCTGGAGAAGGAGCGAGCCAGACGCCTCATTCACAACTACAATCTTATTTACAATCTGTCCCTGAGCCCTCAGAAAATCGACCAGGCCTTGAGGAGGTTCCGTTCTGGAGACAACATACTCTTGGAGCCAGCTCTGCGGTTCTTAAAGGAGCTTTGATAACGAACCCACGTTGTGAGAACAGATATTTCCCTGGACATGCGCTTCTCTTCGGCCTGGGAGCAGTGGCGAGGATGCTGTCAGAGCCGAGATGCTGCAACTGTTGTAGAAGCTTTCACTTAAACTCAGATCCCTGCACAAAGTGATCAGAGAAAACTAGATTTCCTCTTCTCGTGTCACAAGAACCTGACTACTTAAAAGGCTTTCTACTCTAATAAAGCTTACAACTAATTATTTGTGTTTCTTTTAGCATGCTAATCAAAATGTTTTGGCAAAAGGACCAACTCCTCACAGTATAAAAACAAGAGGTTGCTAGAAACTGTCAATTCCCTTAAGTACCTGGCATATAGTAGCCCTATATGCATGGTTTTGCAATGGGCAGACCAAACCTTCCTCTAGTCTTCATATTAGGAAGGATTTTCATATTATAATAAAAATTTTAGCAACATGTGCAATAACAAAGCTGAATTTAAAAGATAGGATAATTATAGATGGACTAGTCTGCCTGAGGACACATTTTTTTTTCTGGGCAACACAAAAATTATAAAAATGGAAATAGGTCCAACTAGAAATGTCCTTAGATAACATTTATTTCAATGGATGCAACAGGATCGCTAATGCAATGTCATTTGGACACTTCCTTACATTTATGTAGAAATACATCTTCTTTTAGCTGCTGAGCATTGAAATCCTCAGAACAATATGGTGGTTGGGGTTGCTGCTGTTTTGGTACAGTAGGGTCAGCTGCCCATTCAATGTCTTCAATTCCATGTCTCAGTGTTGGCTTGAGTTCATATTGCATTGTATTGAGTTCTGGCTGCTCTGCTTCAGTTCAGCTTCCTGCGAGTATACCTGTAAAGGCAGCAGATGATTGCCCAGGCACTTTGCTCTCTACCTCTTGCATGGAAGACCAGGACACAGATCTTGGCTTTTGACTTAAAGCCTGGCCCAGCACTAACTGTTGTACACATTTGGTAGTAAACCAGCAGATGGAAAAATCTCTCTCTTAGATGGATAGATAGATGGATAGATAGATAGATAGATAGATAATAAATCTTTAATTTTGAATACTGTTCTATATGAAATGGCATCAAGAGGCCAAGTCACTAGTACAGCAAAAGCATATTTTGGGATATGTCAGTCTTGTAAAGTGACAATTTCTGTTGATTGGTCTTCTATAGGAAAGTCTCCACTGCTTTGACCCCAAGGTGTGTGAGCACATGTGTGTGTTATGTGTGTATGTGTATTGAACAAAGGCTAATCTGACTCTTGTTAAAATGATAAAGAACTTTCACAACACACAACAGGGACTGCTACAACAGAATTTACAGTGGAGGAGACAGATTAGACTCAACTCCAAACGCAACAAGGAAACGATGATTTGTAGCCAGGGGGACAGCAAAATGGCAGATGATGCCCGGCTGGAAAGTTATAGGAGACATCAAGTAGGGGACAGTCTACCTAAGCCTAACAGGTTTCTTGCTGAAGGCAGACCAGACATCACCTGGGCAAGGTGGAAGAGGGAGTAGGAGGAGGTGAGAGGAGTAGAGGGGCAGAAAATAATGGTGCTTGATTAAATATAAATGAGATCAGATATTCAGAGTATTGTGACTAATCTGTCTTGGCAGAATCCTTGTCCAGAGAAATTCTTAAGGATGTATTCAGGAATATGACCTAATTGAAAGAGTCCAGAGGCACCTGATACAATAAGGGGATACTCTGTGTCAAGGTGTATATGTACGTACATGTGTATTTATTGGCAAGGCTGGCATACTGCTGAAGCCCATTAGTTTTTCTCTGGGTATGTATTGGAAGAACAAATATTCAACTACATTCATAAGAAAAGTATATAACAACAAGGTGACAGTAGAGGTTAAAAGAAGCATGACTGTGAGGCAAACGGTTGAATACAAAAGATGCTATGAAGTCATCATGCTCCAGAGAGTCGTTGCAGCTTCTGTGATGGAACTTTGCTTCTGGAAAGTCTCACATGTCTCTTTTTTTTCTCTCAAATTAGTTGCATTGTGTGTGTCCTCCATGGCTGAATCATCAACGCAAGGAAAACCTGGTGTTTCTGATCTTGATTAGCTTTTACTGGCATAACTTTACACAGGGTTTGTGTGCACAATGGACTGGCTAGCTTCCAGTGAGCCTAGAGATGTTGGTGTCAGCTGCTATTCCCCATGGTCCAAAGCTTCAGCCTTTAAAGTAGGAAAGATGGACAGATATATAGTGTAACCATTAAATTAGGTCTGTGACTCTGGTATCCTGAGCCAGAGTACATGAGTTCAAATCCTGACGCCACTTTTGATTCCAGCTTCCTGCTACTAACCTGCACCTGGGGAGGCAGCAGGTAACAGTCCATGTACTTGAGTTCTTGCCACCAGCATGGGAGACCTGGATTCAGCCTTGTCCAGCCCTGGCTATTGACAGATCCGTTAGAGACAGAACTGTCTGTCTCTAACTCATTATTTTATTAATACAATTAAAGTTTTTAAAAGTTAAACAACAAAGAAAGGAAGAATAACAGAGAACCCCCAGAAGACTGGCAGAGGTAGGTCTTCACTAGCAGGGCATTCCCTCTACCAACTGTTTGCCCTAAACAATTCACTACCTACCCTAGAGCATCATTTCTATTTCTAATTCTTTTAATTTCTAATCAGCCCATGAAATGAGTAAATACGTATCGGGCACCCTGTGATGTTTGGGTACTTATATAATTGTGTAATATCTACCCAAGGTAAACATATCTAAGTCTTCATTCAATATTTTTTATGTTTACCCTAACCTTCAAAATCCTTCTTTTCACATTTCTTAGGGAAATATACAGTACATTATTACCCCATTGTGCAATAAAACACCAGAACTTCTTTTTCAATGGGTGCTGCTATAGCCAGAAAGAAGTTAATACATTTTGACACTAATTTTAAATAAGGTAGTACATGCAAATTACCCTATATTATAATGTGCAAAAGTATTGAAAGAAGACCACCAATAAGCCCATAGCTGCTTGTGAAAGAGGAAGTAACCTTTATTTGAGCCAGATGGCATCAGCCAGTGTCACACCCAGAAAGCCAAGCCCTGAATGTCCCCTAACACAAGCCTTTATGGTTTAAAAGCACTGGTTTCTGAACAGGGAGCAAGCAAATAGGGAGATGCAGAAGCAAAGATTCAGCTGTTAGCCTTGGGCCGTCAAAACATCACATTATAGTTCACAGTACTGTCTATTAGTTAGTCAACATTTTATCCTAGTGTCCAGTGGCACCAATCTTGACCCTCTTGATTTGGAGAAGGCTCATTTTCCTAGGTCTTCCACACACGCCTCCTCTACATGACCAACATGAGAGCTTGTTTTTCGAGACCTACGTGTAAGTCTGCTGTCCTCCTTCACAAGGACATGTTCCATACAGGAAAATGATAGTATTTCATTGTTAATACAGAATTTCTCATTGCCCTACTCAATGGATCACATTCTTAACTGTCTTTCCCAGGTAAAGATAACTTTCAAGTTTCCAAAATGGTTTACAGGATCATAATAGGCAGACACAAATGTCTTCCATGTTTTTTTTCTTCATTCTGCCTGCACTTGTTCCTCATACTAAACTAATTAGGTTGGCATTCCTATGCCCATTCTATACCAAGGTAAGGTTGAGATGTGGGATATGTACTTGCCTTACGGAGTGCCTTACTGAGCCAGTATTAGAGCCTGGGCATGTACCACTCCCAGTTAATATTGCCAGGCAGGTGTCAGTTTGAGCAGATCACCTGTGGAATGCTCTTTCCTGTGTATGCTGTCCATTCCCAAAGCTGGGCCAAGCCCTCACTCACCTTTGTATGCAACACAGAGCCCAGATTCACCACTGGGTAGGCATCTGGTGAGCATCTGCTACAGAAGCCCCACAGGAACATTTTGAAAACCCAGGTGCTCCTCGCTTTCCTCTAACTCATCCGAATTCCTTGCTGCCTTCTGGGGACTGCAATAAAGGGTGTTATCAGAAATCTTTGGAATGATTTGCTCAAGCACAACTATGGAGATGGCACAGTCCAAAGAGTTTGCTAAGTGCTTGCTGACTCTTTGGAGGAATTTCCCAAGATCATTAAGAGAAACAATAACAGGGGATTTGATATTCTAATTGGAATCAGAAATTGGACAGCTTTGGAGCTGGCCAGAGAACTGTGAAGCTCTGAACACAAATGGTTGTCTTTCTTCTCTGCCTCTCCTCACACCCCCTCCCTACAAGAGCTTTTCAGCTATGAGTCCAATGCTCCTTAGCAACAAAGGCGGAGTTCCCAGAGCCAGGGCACTTCAGCAATGCCAGCCATCCCCCTCATTAGCATTCAGGGGCTCTCTTCTGCTTGCACAGTTGGCCACAGGGCTGTGCAAAAGACAACGTGGCTTGGGGGAGGCCAGTATTTAGCGTGGTTTATTGGGAAATGGGAAGCCTCCACAAAAAGTTTCCAAACAAAAGGCATCAATATTATTTGTGAAGCCATGAGACTGCCTGGAGCACAATATGGCTCTGACTTGGCCACATGCTCTCTCCCCAGGTTCTGTGAGAAGGATTGGTGGGGCCTCCCCAGAAACATCTTGGCTGTGAATGTCAATGAATTGGAGCATCTCTTTTCTCCTCCCCTCTATCCTGTCCTGTTGCCCCTCAGTTTATCCAGGTTGGACAATGGGTGGAGTCCAACTTGTAGCAGGGATGCCCAGAAAAAGAGGTGACAGAGGGTAAATGGTCAGATGGTAGGACAATCATGAGCAGATGGTGTTGCTGGAAATGGATTGCAGAGAAATTCACCAGCAGATTGAGCTCTGACAAAGGCTGGGCAAGATTTACGTGGTGAAGAGCTACTGGCCCCTGCTCAAAACATACACCCCCGTCCCCCATTCCTGCACAGTTTTCCATGCTTACATGAGAGGCACAGCTGGCCAGGTTCTGTCTCAATGGCATGCCAAAAAATGAGTCAACAGGCCAATCCCTGGAAAAGTCCAACATACAATGCATTTTCCACATTTCTGTAGAATCTGAGGACATTTTCCCTCAGCCTCCCTGGGCTTGAACACATTCCAATATGCAGAGCTCATTACTTGTCATG